CGATAAGAACTTGAGAACATGGGATTTAGCTTGGCTGAGCCCTCGTGGATATATAATTATGCAAGGCTGATTAAATAATAGTTTTTATAAGCCGGCAGAGCTGCTTAAAAATACGCCAAAAATAGTTTCGTGTCACAAGTTATAAATCTTCTGCAGGACGAAGATCAAGATAATGCAGATTGCACCTATCAGTTTTTCTTGCAAAGGAAATTTTTCCTCACCGGGGTTAATCAGGGGTTAACCTAACTTCGATGAAGAAATAAAATGGAAGCAAAATATTTATTTTCGTAATAAGATTTATACCGACCTCTGGCACAATGTTCTCGTAATTTATATTAAATATAAACCAATAAACGCAGGCCTTTTTCCTGTTTCCAATGGTGAAATAGATTTCAAATAAATGCTATCGGTTAACAGAAAGCAGAAAGTGTTTAGGGTAGAGTTTGGTTTCAAAAATTTATAATAAATGTCATCACATTGACTGCGTAGTAAAAATAACAACAATACTTATTTAAGCAAAAAATATTCTTATTAAATAAACTGATGTTTACCAAAAGAATATTATAACTTATAATGCTTAATAATACTTTAAAAAAATTTCATTTAATAATTAAAATAAAGCTAATCAAAAGAATATTATAATTAATAATGATTAGCAATATTTACTAAAGCTAAAAATATAATCAATAATATTCAATGATATTAAATAAAACAAAAATTATCATCAATATTACTTAATAATACTTATTAAAATAAAAATTATTAATTTGTAATACTTATAAAAACTGTTCTTAATAAGACTAAGTAATTCTTATTAAATACTTATAATAATAATAATGCGTAATAATAAATAAAAATTATAATTAGTAATATTTAATAATACTTAACAAAAAAAAACTAAAACTTAAAACAAAAATTATGCCTAATAATGCGTGAAAATACTTATTAAAATAAAGATTAAAGTTTTCAGTGCTTAATATTATAATTTAAAATAAAAACTATAATTATTAATGCTAAATAACTCCTATTCATCTTCTGATAGTCATCAACGAGCTTAGCTGGCATTCCAGTGGTGGACCGCAGTGGGTGCAAAGGAACGCAGCTCATATTACAAGTTTTGCGACTAACAGTTATCGCACATATTTGGGAAGAAAGTGTTGCTTAGTTTCGTGATCGCCAAAGGGTTAAAACAATTTATGTTTAATAAAATTCAACAATTATTATTAAATAATTTTTTTCTATTCTATCTACCTGACTTAAAATTAAAGCAATAGAAGAAAGCATTATTTATCGGAAAAATGTTTTGAATGTGATAAATTCGTATCTTTTTCCTTAGAGAGAATTTCGAACAACATTGTTATTAATGTTCTTAACACTAAATGAAGAAGGAAAATTCACAGGATTTGTATTCATTTTTAATGAGGCTTATTACGTAAGTTATTAAATTATCTGACCTCTCAATACTTCCAGATTACAGAATTAAAACCATTAAGATCACAGTATGAGTTTAAACGCTCTCTGCCCATAGGTTGCTAGAACCATCAAAAGGATAACACAGTGCAGAATTTCTAATGTAAAACAAATGAGCTTTATGATATCCACATTTAATTAAAAGACAAATAAAGCAAATTATAAGGCATGAGACGGGAGTGAGAAGGAAAGAAAAAACCTACATCTGCGGTGAATTTAAAGGAAAAAGAAAAGATTAACGGTCGCCCAAAAGGTTTTGTAAAGGTATTTTACGCTCTCACTGAGCTCGCATTCTACCAGTTTGCTCTTGCATTCATTAATCTTTTTTTTTGGGGGGGGGGGGACATTCCAGTTCAACAACCAAATCAGAAAATTTTTAACAGCAGCATATTTCCGATGCAGTGTTAAGTGTTGGAATACATTTTTCTATTTTTTTCAGTGTTTTGCAGTTCATCATATCAATATTCAGTTTTCTTGGTAAGATGGCTAATAAAATTTTTTTTGACATTTTACTATTAACTTTTAATAAGTTAATTTTATTTATTAAATTTCAAGTTTTCCCCACTTACGCCACATAAGAATTTAATTCCAGCAAGAAACAGGAACAGCAGAACCCGAAGCAAGAAACACAATAAACAAGCCACAAAATTTTTAAAAACAGCATATTATTAGAATTCCCGATAGAATGCTAAAAAGCTTTATATTTGCTATATTATTTCTTTAAAAACTAGCCTCTTACGCTTCCACTCCCCTAACAGTTATAATAAAACACTATATAATGAATTTAATGAGTCCGGCTATTCTAATTTAATAAAAATATTGAATATTTCTAATTAGAAATCTCATGATTTTAATACGTATTTATTTAAATCAATCGCATTAAAAAGTGGGAAAAGTATTCTTAAGAACTGCGTTTATTGTTTTAAATCGCTTATTTTATTACTAAATAACATTCCAGATTAAATTTGGAAGTATCTTAGGCTTTAATGAATGACAACATGCTTCTGTCTGGAAGATAACAGTATTTTATTTTAAGTTATGGCAACACATGCCTTTAAATAACGGAGTTTGTTGATTAAAATTAAGAGACCAATATCTTTTATTTTTTCGAATGGCAACGGTGTGGAGATAAAAATGCTTTATCTTCTAGCAGAGTTGCCACTGCTGGCTTTCAAATAGTTGAGTTTATTAATCAAAATTTCGTTACATTCGTACAAAATGCGAAAGAAACATTAAGTAAATTAAAAATTTAAGATTATGGTTTCGAGGTTCATATGCTCGAGTGGAAGACAATTCGTATTGCAAAATGAGTAGCTCTAGGTACCACTGATTTTTCTCAATTCGAAGAACATACATACACACACATTTTTTTTTCCCAGATAGGATAATCAAGATTTCTATGCCTTTTGAACACAACTTATATATCTATACATCTCTCTCTTTATATATATATATGTGTGTGTGTGTGTGTGTGTACAAATTATTTAAATAAAAGAGATTATTCGGAAAGACAAACTGAAAATTCTAAATGTTATATTAAATATATTAGAACACTAAAAATTTATGAAAAGTAGATCTAGTACAAAAATATTAACAGTAGTTATACTAGCTCCTAACTCTTTTTTTCCCTTTCTCCTTTAAGTCTGTTCTATCTTTAATATACCTTATGTCATGTAATGCTAGATTTCAAACATATGTGTTCGAGTGCTTTTTGTTGTATGATTGCCGCAAGTTTCGCATGCCGTTGAGAAGAATCTTCGACACCATGCAGGTGACACTTTAAGATAGGAATTTAAAATCTCAGTCCCGTTTTGTAGAGGATTTTCTGGTGATCTTTAGCAGTACTGAGGCTATATTCTAGTTTTATGTTAATTTTTTTTTTAATCAATACGCCGTATACTTTATTATATGGTCTAAAACGATACTCCGTATAATTTATTATATGGCGTATCGATTCAGTTGAATAGCTCAAACTAGCTGAATGTATGATTATTCTCCTTTCGAGGTGTTTCCTATGTAAAGATAAAATGCGAGCCATTTTCTCATAGGAAGTACTCCATGAAGCATTCTTCCTATACGCAGTAAACTGCCGAATGCTTTGTCGTAGTCTCTTATACAAATAAACAGACGTTTATGCTTTAAAGTCTAATGAAGGTCAACATTTTGTTTATTATTATATTATTCATTGAAAAGGTCATACATGAACTCAAAGCAGCAATAATGTTTCGCTTCGTTTTACACTTTCCGGAAACTATTTTAAATATAAACGCCAATTTATATCAAATGGAAATAAGATCAATTTCTGAAAGCGAGATATTAAGTCCCTCCAGAGCTGGAAACATGAATAATCCGCAATGTTTTCGTAGGTATTCAAACCATTAATTATCGACTGTGAGCCATGCGTGCTTCCACTTACATCAGAAAGGCACGCATAGGGAAATGCCATGGTTCCTAATATTATGGGTTTCGTTTTGAGCGAATGATAACTTTGTCGGCTTACCTAAATGAGGATGGAGGAAGAAGAAAGAGAAGGAAAACCTTGGAAAAAAAATTTAATTTTTTTTTTTAGCCAAAAAAGTGATAAATCAAATGTACCCTCATCCGGCTTCAAAGCTTGGATCTAGCTGAACGTTTCAACCACTTATTCCCTGAAAGGGCGCATGTCTTAATACGATGATTCATACAAATATATTAATGATTTTTTTTGAAGAAAATAAAAATGTTTTTGGAAGTGAGTTCGATCCTTTAAATAATGTGCTAAATTCAATTAGAGTGAAGTAACTGGAAATAATGTTTGAAAAGTAGTTGTTTCTATTCCTTGGCACGCACTGCACGCTTCCGAAAATTATGAAAGGATGCCACGAAGGATATTTGGCGATAATAACGTGGAAAGTAGCGTTTGAGGATAATAATTTTGAAGTTCCCTTTACAGTTCATCAGAAATTAAGTGGAAAAGATCTTTTGCGTGTAATGCATCTTTAATACATGCATTGAGTTTAAACAATAGTGATTATTAGATGCGTTACAATTATATGACATGTATCTTTCACAAAAATTATGCAAACTAGAATCAATTTATTTACATATTAGTCATTTTTGTGCAATTTTCATTAAATTCTGAATGTTTTAAATTGTGTCATATTTCAAAAAATCTTTCATATTTAATTTTATACAGTTACGAAAATAACTGATTTTTGTTTGTAATACTTTTAATAGATTCTTCTCAACATTATAATAACCTGTTTCTAAACATACTACATCTCAAATTATTTAAGTAGATAAGCCACTAGTTGTTTGATGTGAGTTCGATCCTCTATGATGAAGGGTGCTGCTCAAGTTTTTCTTTACGTGTAACACGAATACGCACTGGTTTCAGTTTGAAAATTTTTAATGAAGGCAGTCTTCTTAAAAATGGATATCCCTATATTCTTTGCTTTATTTATTTATGTTATGAATCTAAATGTATTTCTTTGAGATTGTTTTTAATATGTTTTACGGATTATTAACTTTTTCTACATTTTCTTTTGCAGTGGTTTTATTACCGTGGGAACTATCTTGCTTTCCGTCACAACAAAAGGTATATTTTTATAATTTCTGTCTTCCTTTTTCCCTGGAATTCTTTGTTATTCAGATACTTAAATCAGTTTCAAAACGCTGTCAGAAAATTATAATACCTCATGTTCATCTTCCAGATTTTGTAATAACAAAATACTTATCAGTCTGCTAAAATGATATATTTAATAAAATACTAATAAAAAGTTCCTTGAAAAATAAGGTTTTGTTTAAAATTCATAAAATAACTAATGAACTAAGACGAGAACATATAATTTAAGGAGAAATTTAAATTAAGTAATTCTATTTACAAGTTTCATCTACAGTTGTATATCACGAATAATAAAAGCGTGGGGCAACCTTCATAAATAATGGCTTATACTTTTGACAGTGCTATTAAATGAAGAGATTTTGTTAGGTGCATAGAAAACACTGAAATTTGCATAAAAGGTAAAAATATGTCGGGGTATTCAAATGATTACCATCTATGGCATACTCCAATACACAGCGCAACTCATGAAAAAATAATAGAAATAAATTAAAATGTAAACTGTTTAATTCTGACTTAAACCTCATATTTTGTACGTGAAAATTTTTAAAGCAGTATCTCCATATGTGTTTATTTTACGTGTCATGCTAAATGAACAAATACGACAATTAGAAGCTACCCAAGTTGCAACGTACACATTAAACATAATGCAAGTAATATGAAGAAGGTATTTTGAGAACGAGAGAATTAACGATTCACATTAGCTAGACTATGCTGTCAACGGAAACTACTATCTGTGAACATACACTTTCTAAGAAAGTGCCTATTTATATCGTACTCAAATGTTTATTATTTGTCAGCTTTCTAGTCAAGAGCCATCTGACATAGAAGCTGAAATATTTTCCTCCTATTATAGCTTTCATTAAGTTCTGTAAATATTGTCTAAAAGTACATTACGAAATACCTACGGAAGATAATGAAGCACTCAAGAAAATGGTTAATACAATTCTGTGTCATAAAATGATTGATTCTTTTAAGACTTTTCTGGAAATCTTCGACATCTGCAAAACTAATCTGATAAATATCCAGTATCGTGTGTAGACACACAAAGTTCAAACTGATGTCTTACTTTCAGTTTTATTTTCATCGAATGTGTCTTATTCTATGTATTGCTAAATTGAGGTCATCGTCTTCTAAATAATAATAAAAAATGAAAGAAATGAGATAAGCGGCTTTTAAGATGATATGTGACATAATACAGTTTATTAAAAGGAGGGACGGTTCAGCGATTTCTGACCTTATTTGCAATGTATGCTTCATTGTTTATAAGTGTAACCAAAGAGCAATATTTTCAAATTATAATCAAGACGAACTGACATGAAAAATAATCTGATAAAGTGTTACAATTCTTGTGTTTCTCTTTATTCCTAAATGCTTAACGAAAAATTCCGGCAACTCTCAGCGCAGTAGCCGTATGTTAAATGCATATTAGACTGACATCAGAGAGGATAAATGCGTAGACTACTCTCGGTGAGGTATCATATTTGCATACTATGTATTAGATTGCTCTTATTAAGAAATCAAACTCACTTCTTCAATCACACTCTCACTATATATACTTCGAATATTTTTCAAATTAATGCAGTGGTATACCGATATATAACACTGATTCGTTCTAGAACTTCTACCAAACTGGAAATATTCCAAATAAAGTTTTCGTCTGAGAAATAAATTGAAAAAAATTAATCCATCTATATATATAGTATTAAGCAGCGTTATGACTACAACAATAGGAAATAAAATCCTATTGTTGTAGTCATAACGTTGCTTAATACTAAAACACGAATGTTGTGGGAGAAATATATACTCTACATAAATAAATTACTGCATATGATACTGTGCACAAGTGGTTTTCTGCTATCCAGATCAAAAGAAATTTTTCAATATGCTCTAACGTCTCTGATCTTTGTTTGGTAATCGATTTCAACCCTTTCGCAAAGTTAGCCTATTTAATATCGTCTTTGTTTTTCGCAATTATTCACACCATCGTTCTTTGCATACGCTATGCAACAGTCGAGTCCCAGATACGAAAGTCATCGTATTTTTCAGCAATCGTTTTTCGATTCTAACCATTTTCTTCCTTGCTTGACTCTTCTCATTAAATTTCTTAAAACATCATTGTTAACGACTTTACAAAAAAAAATTACTCGAGGAAACACAAAATCGCATGAAAATCCAGAGTCATAACGCTGAATTTTTACTTAGCAGTAGATACTGATAGCGCGGGTTGTCTACTGAATAGTAAATATAGTAGCAACAGATTTGCTGACGCACATGGGCCATCACGGCATTCTCTCGAAAGTCGTGGCTGATCAAATTCATGCCGTATTTCAACGAGTATCGTATACCGAACAAAATATTTCGCGCCTAAACGGGACGTATACCAGGTTTCACGTATTTCAAAGGGGACGTTTGAAATTTATTAAATTATAAACCCGATTTAGGACGTTCAGGATTCCTGACCATAAACTACTCTCTGAAGAAATCGCAAACATTTCGGGTATCATACTTCAGTGGAAATATCCATTTTGAAAATTATTTTCTGCAATACGTCTGCACGATAAAAACAGTATAAAAGACACTTTTTTTTTCGAAACAGATTGTAAAATAGATTTTTTTTGTGACGTCCGTACGTACGTATACATCTCGGATAACAAAAAAATTATTAGCTGTAGAACGTTGAAATTTTGTGTATGGGACTGCTATAACATGTAGTTGCGCACGTCCTCTTTTTACTGTAACCAAACATGTGTATGAACCAAACAGTAGCACCAAACATGTGTATGAAAGTAGTGGATATATATATATATATATACTCTTTTGCAAAAATAAATCGAAGCACCAAGAAGGACTTTTGCGATCGTGACGAAATTTGGTATGCAAAAGCATCTTGATCGAACATGCAAATGATCAACGTTTCATGGCAAACGATCATAACGCGCATTTCTACTGCGCAATTCGCAAAGTATAAAACCAGTAACAGAGGCGGAAATTTATCTTTTTTTTCTTGCTGCCATTGTAATTCCGTAAAGAAACAACTAAATATGCCATTACGATGATATCGAAGACCTTACAGACAACTAAACAACGACTTCGAACGTCGAGCTGGGTGGTCATACCGAGCAACAGGCTGCCATCTGCAGCGTACACACACTGCTGTTCAAAGATGTTGGCAGCAATGCTTGCTACAAGGAAATGAAGGCTCTGGAAGGCCAAGGAGTACACACGCGAGGCAAGATAGGATGATTGTTCGCCAGGTTCGAACCACCCCAACGGTATCATTGTCGACTATTCAACGCACTACTGCCACGTCTATACCTCCCGTAGTATCGTCCACCATCGCACGGCGCTTGTCTGAGGCGGGATTACTTACGCTCACAGAGGCCTTTAAGGCGTTTGCCTTTGACCCCACAATATCGGCAGAGTCGTCTGGAGTGATGTCGCAGCCGATAATCAGGGCTGCAATCAGACTGACATGTATAGTGCTCAGCAAGTCATCCTGAAGCCATTTTCCAACAAGATACATGTGACATACTGCTCGCATATCTCTGGACTGTCTTCGTGCGATTGATACTCTTCCTTGGCCAGCAAGGTCACCAGACCTTTCACCAATGTATTTCACCAATGTAACCTTGTTTGGGACATGGTATGCCGCCAGATTCGGGCACGACAAAATATCGTAGATCTGGAGCGACAACTGATGAATGCCTGGCAGAATGTGTCGCAGGATGAAATTAGGAACCTCTACCATTCCTTGTCTCGACAAATTCAAGTATGCATTGCCGCCAGGGGCGATTCGACCAACTACTAATATGAACACTCAGTGGGTGATTGTGAGCCGTGAACAGGTACTATGACCTTGATTTTGTAATCATTTTATGATCCGTGTATGAACTATAGACATATTCAATTTCATCAAAAACAACCACTTCCTTCAAGGTGCTTCGATTTTTTTGCAAAAGAGTGTATATACTCAATCCTTTACGAGGCCTTTATTTTCGCAATCTTTGGTCGTAGTCATGTTTTCAATTACAGAAGTGTTTTAAATGACGAAAATATTCATGTTTTGGCAATGTCAAATTAAGAAAAAATTAATATTGGACAAATAACGAATTCTAACTTTTAATTAATGCGGTCTTCCGGTTCTCATAACTTACTTACATTTGGGAAAGATTTATACTTGTTATGAAAAAGTAAAATTCTAAGAAGTTTGACTCTCATACGACAAAAATTGATCGCAATGTTTCACTTCAAAATTTGCAATTTTAGTGCCATTTTTAACTTGCCTCGAGGGATCGGTTAATTTAGTTAATAATTCTAAGAAATAAGTTTAATAGAAGTGTAGCAAAAAAGTGTGCATAATTTTATAAGACATATAAGAGAGTCATGTGGTGTTCCCACAGGTTATATATATATATATATAAGAAACTGATGCTAAATTTCACAACTGAAGGATGTGATAGAGCACCGGTTTCGAGCTTATAGCCCACGAGCCAGCCCCGAAGCAATTTTAAACGTCCCGCGAATATGTTTGCCTTAAATTAATTAGCATTAATGCGACAAGACTTCGGGAAAAAAGCTTAATGATTCTAATCATTTGAAGTACAGTTTTTTGCATCTTTTTCATTGCGATTAAAAACGAACGTGAATAATCCCCGGCTAATCAATCTACAGATGGAGTTAATTAATTTATAGTATAATATGAAACTTATTTAAAATTTGAAGGTACAATATGATTACCTTTCATTCGTACTTGTCAAAGATTAAATATTCAGTTCGAATTTCGTAATAAGATTAAAGTGTTAAGAAAGGAACCAGAGTGAGAGATGAGCTTCTAGAATACGTGATGAAAATAGTTTCTATAATTTTTCACCAAAGAAGGTTCCCAATTTAAACATTTTCGAAATTTGTTTTAGTTTGAGTTTAGTGTAAGTTATTTGTAGGTTAATTCAACATATTAAAATTATGTGAAATAAATGATACTATGAAAATGTAGTATTTAACTGTCAATATGTTTGAACTAAGTAAAGAGTAAAACCGAGAGAAATTTCCTGCAAGTACCAACCTTTAGATTTCAGACGTAAAATTAATTTGAATTTTTTCCTTTGCATAATTATTATAACTGTTCATGTATTTTTTGACAAATATTTAGCAAGTAAAATTTAAAATTTAATTAAAAAATGCTTTTTTAATTTTGTTAAAAAAAGTGTCCGATCCATCGGTTTCTTTCAGAATGTTCATTCGGACCGCATGCAATTTGACTTTGAGACTACTGTGATAGGGAATGATAAATATCATTTTTGTTTGAAGGCCTTACTTATATTTAGGTTTAAAAATCTATGTAAACTCTGTGTGAATTAATCATGGAGCCGAGACAAATAACAGCATATGTAATTCGTAATGCATTATTTATGAACATATAGAAGAAAATGACGATCAGGAAGTACTGCGATACGCCAAGTAAGGCTCTATTGAAATTATTCGGCTGGCTCCCTGAAATAGACCAAAGAATTTTCAACTATTTGTTTTATTGTAATATTTTATATTATTTTTATTATGTTATGATACTGAATTATTTTTGTTTTGCTCCATTCTTGTGTATTTTCTTCTTGTTAGACTGTTAACCACGAAATATTTTGATTTAACTATTTAATTTTTGTATATTAATTATATATATATATATATATATACATATATATAGGAAAAAATTGAATCGTACTAGCGATTGAAACTAAGAATTACATTTCAAATAACTCTTACCGAGCGCTTGCATCAGAAACTCAGTATTCTTAAAGTTCTCTTTCCAGGAACTATTTTTAATAAGTTTAAAATTATTTCTTACTTAATCGATACATTTTCATTTTTTCCAGATACATCTTACCTCATATTTCCCGCTTTAACCCTCATGTGCCTAGCTGGAGTACCTCTGCGATTAGCAAATATGCAGGTAAGAATATAATTAGGATAAGATGTTTTTATTTTATCTGTTTGCATTCATTACTATTGTACGCTTACTGTTGTTTATCATATATTTCATTATGAAAGCATTTCTTGTTTATATATATATGGATAATATGTGTGGATATAATAAATTTGAGTTAATTTATATTGTTAAGATAAATGAATAAAAATTCATAATCAAACATTTGTGGAGTCAGTAAGTCATATCGATGCAGAAACATGAAAAATGGAGAACGTCCTTGTTGGGACTCGTACACCGGGCCTCCTGATTGCCAAGCGGACGTGCTTTCTATTTACATCACGAAGGCACGCGGTAAAGAGGGAGAAAATACTTTATACATTGAATTCAGAAAATTGCAATCTGGATGAACTTGTATTAATTTTGATTAATGAAAAGTGCCCTTCTGCCTATCAGAATTTATGAATCGAAATAGGAAACGGGGAAGGGGGAGGAGAAGATGAATAAATAATCTATGTCACATTCACTAAAATTTAAGTTGACTTCTAATCTTTTTCTTGGTCTACCCCATTTCAAAGAATGGTTTTCTTCTTCAACCCTTTAAAATTTACGGCATGCAATATAATCCTAATAAAAATAATTTCACATGAAGAGCCTTGAATATAACAATTATCAGACTAAAACTGTGAATGAAATTTTGAAGAAGAAAATGGTTTATTAAATTTATGTTTCGTCTTACTATTATTTATAATTTTAGAAACTTAAGGAAGGTTTCAGAAACAAAATCTGAGATTTTACTTGGCTCTTACAATTTTCTGCATGTAACATCATCATAATACAAATAATGTTTCATGAATAACTTAAATATAACAATTATGAGATTAAAATATGAATTAAAATTTTGAAAAAAAAATCGTTTATTACATTTCTGTTTCATATTACTATTAGTTTTAATTTTATAAATACAAAGAAAGTTTCAGAAATAAAATCTGAGATTCTAATTGGACAAAAGTTTGATTTTAGTGAGTGTGATGACTGCTCTTTATGTATTGGTACAGTTTTTTAATGCTTGGCATAAAATTGCTTAACTGAATTCTTGAATCACCTTTAAAAAATATTCAGCCCTATTTCTAGTTCTCCGTAGTCGTTTATTGACTTGGCTAAAGTCAGCTTCCACTAAGTATGAAGAGGAAAAAGTCATTTTTTGGGATGGCTTTTCAATTTCAAAACCTAATACTGCGATTGGACTTACGACTGTTCACTGCTGGATCAGTTTGGAATAACTACACTTACTAAAACAGTCTAATAAATTTACTTTAAATTATTAACGTAACCAATGTCTTTTAAATAAAACTTGTGCCTGAACATCCTCTTTCAATGCAATCAACTTTTCTTGCATCACAATATCAATATCAAATATATTTTTATTTTATAGGCGGTTGCTTCTATGAACCATGTTGGGACATTTAAATTTTCAGTGTGTTAAAAGCGAATATTAAAATATAAAACAGTTTATATGTAATAATATATCTTCTGAGGAAGTTTTGCGTTGTTTATGTATTTTGGTGGGGTCATTTCTTCCTGCGTTCTACATTTTTATATTGCATTTTTTGCATAAAAATGTTTTTCATTTAAAAAATATTATTGATTTTTAAAATATACTGACTAATTTTTGTTTATTTTATAGTATTTCTTCTTTCTTATTTGATACAGCTTTATATCAATAAACAATTAATTATTAATTTTAGAGTATTAACAATGCTTTTGCAATAAATAGGATCTTCATTATTCCGATCTGCCCGTGCATATAGGCTGTCGATCCCCTGTGACCTCTTGATCATCATTGACCCTGTATAAAACTTCATAGACCCTAGGGTGTTAATAACAACCCCGTTAACACGTTGAGCGCGGTTCACTGCCGGTCCCTGGGGACCGGCAGTAAACTTTCCGTGTGGCCGGCGTTGGTCCCTGGGGACCGGCACTGGAATTTTCGTTTGGCTGGCGTCGGTCCGCGGGACAGACAGTATTAAAGTTAAAAAATAAATATAGTCTCAATGAAATGTGATCAAGTTTAGTTTTAATGAAATGTATGGAAAGATTCTAAACAAAAATACGGCTTAGCTCGTTGCCGGCTGAACGGAAAAGACAGCAAATGCGGCGCCGCGCTCAACCTGTTAAGAACACCTAATTTAATGGGGTCTCATCTGATGCGACAAATGATAGAAACTGTACTTGTTAGTTTCAGTGAATGATAAAATAGACTGAGTGAACAAAAGGAGCTGAGAACAGTTCTGTATCTCCCTTTCTATTGGACAGCTAGAGGAAATTCAACTTGCACTTTACATGTCTCGAAAGCGCGGCTTAGGATGCATATTAGATTTACATTTAACATTCTTCTAATATTGATATATGGACATAAAATCGGACATTTTATGAATAATATAGAGATGTTCAAATTGTGCCAATCTGCCAAGTTTTGTCAAAATCGCCCGAGTAGCTTTTAAAAAAATTAGGTCTTAAAATTTTAGCTCCTTAATGTTATTAAATTTGGTATATATTTATTATTATGTCTTTTTAAATTAAATTTTCTTGATTCCTTCTTTCAAAATTCAAAATTTGTGTTCAATCCAAATAAAATTATCGCATTTTTTATTTTGAAAAACATTTTTAATTATAACCGCTAAAATTTTTACGATCGTTTTAAAGTAGATGCATTTCAGGGCACATCTGCAAAAAAAAATTGCATATTTTATTCAAAATTTCGGAAGATGTATACGTGAATTAAAATATTGGCACGTTTTGAAATCTGGCATATATGTTAAAAGCGATAATAACGCAAAATGTAGTTTAAGCATTTTGTTACAATCTTCAGGCCTTTTTAAGGGAAACTGGCTGTTATCCGTGTTACACGTAGGGAAAATCACGAAAACGCCCAATTGAAAGCCTTTTCTCCGAGACTTGAACCCCGGACCTAAGGATCCTCTATACAGGCTGAATCATCCGCCATTCGCTAGCCTAAGTGGAAGGATTAATGGCGGCTGCATAGTTAGCGGTGCAATGATTTCTTGAGCTTTTTTTGTGTAAGTTAGGCGATGTGAAAATATTAATTGCTCAAATCATTCACGGAAAGGTCATATATTGGTAACATTTCCTAAAAATGAAGAAAAAGAAAAATATTTGGGTAAATAATTGTCGAAGAAATAATTAGGAACCTGGTTCAGGTGCTCAACTTTGCCTAGTAAATATAATATGTACGCCTTCATTTAGAATTTATGGCCCACCAGCGGCCGAGCGGTAAAGTCTCTGAACACTGGTAGTTCGGTTCGAGGTTCGAATCCCGCGAACGGGCTGGTTGCATGGGCGTTTTCGTGGTTTTCCCCATGTGTAACGTGTATACGAGCCAGTTCCCTTAGAAAGTCCTCCACGAAGGCATCCCTCCCCTTAGGCAGATAGCCCTCGAGGCTTTGCCATAATTACACAAACCAAACCAAACCATTTAGAGTTTATATCTTCTCAAATTTATTATAATGCGCAAGTAAAGTGCGCAAGTACAATAACCTAAGTATCTGCTAGTTCTGCTATATAAATATGCTGCTAAATATATGATAAACAGCTGCTAGGTCCTGTCTCAATAGCTATAATTAAATTGATCTAGGATTAATGTACCCCTAGCCAAACATCGCTATTGCGGATGTTTTAATTTCACTCCGAATTTAATCCGTATATTTTGTTTTCCTGTGCTAATTGTTGAAGTTATAGTAATGTAATATGAAAATCATTAACATATTGAAATTAAAAAATAAATAATATTTTGAGAATAATAATTTAGAAACGCAAGTTAAAATCTGAATGTTTGCCAGAGATATACCAAAACTGGCAGCGCTTTTCTTTTCTCGCCAAGAGGGAAAAGTTGATGATTCAGCCTGGTATATAGAAGCCTTACCAGGATCGAACTACCAGTATTCAATGGTTTTTACCGCTCGGCTGCTGATAGGCTTAACAGTTACTTTGAACCTTAAGTTTCCAAATAAAATTTTATGAGAATTATTCATGATGAAATTCTTAATTTTCATTTTTTATCAATAGTGCCTAATTTTAATAATGCATGCAAAGCTAATTTTTAAATTTGTAAGGAATATTAATGAAATGTTTTTTCTTTCACAAGAGAAAGTTTTTATCTTCTCCATTTTTTCGCCTTTGACAGTGATGTTAACAGCAGGAAAGTTTTATCTTCTTTTTTGTGTGTAGCAAAAGGAACAAATAAAAACGTCGCTGATGATATTTTATCTCCAAAAATATTTCGTGGCCTTCATTGCATTGTAAATTTCTTAAACAACCTGTTGTTTATGTCTGAAAGGCCCCTAATTATCATTAAAGACTTTCTTTCAAAGCAAAACATATTTTTATATATACATAGGGTTTAGAATTAACATATTTTTAAAAGTCAGATTGTGATTCGTCGAGACCCGAATTTTAATCATCATTTATTGTATTACTAAAAGATTATTGTTACATTTATTTCCACATTGTTATAATTTTTGTTGCATTTTCTGCTATACTAAAATTTATTAAAATTCTTCTTCTAATATCATTTCAAAACTTAAAAGGGTCTCCTTCTCTTGTGAACATATTGCTAATTTTACATCAATTAAAATTTTAACATCTAACTTCTACTCTTTCAGTCACTGGCAATCGCGTCTTGCTGTTAGTATATTTAGCAGCTGTGTTTAAAATTATATTTTGGCTTTAGCATTTTCGCTAGCCGATGCTTCAGATACGCGCTAGTAAGATATACGACCCAATTTATTTTATTTAATGTGTTGTTTAGACTACGTTAGGTGATATTTTGTTGTGATGATCTGTGTTGTGTTTGTTGTAAATTTCATTTACCATGGCAATTTCACAAGTTGGATCTTTCAACGCCACTAATTTTCCAAGGCCCTCAAGTTGAAGACACTGGCGTGTGTCAGCGAGTCTCTCTGCACCCATTTGTCATGAGAGAGTCGACCATGACACTACTCTGCGTT